CCTATTCTCCCACTGACTGCATCGCAGATGATGTAAAAGATGAGTTTTACAGAAAACTCTCCGACCTTCTCCGAAATGCTAGGCGCTCGGATGTAGTAATAATGGCCGGTGACTTTAGTGCTCAAGTAGGTAAACTAAGCGAAAGGGAAAGACACCTGGGTGGATCTTATGGTGTCATGGCTAAAAGAACAGATAATGTCGACCGTCTGTTGCAGCTATGCTCAGATAACCGCCTGTTTCTTGCTAATACGGAAAAATAACCCATTGTGTCATTGAATAAGAAAAAGAGAATTCAGCGAAGAGAATTTTCTTTTCGACGAAATCATTTACTTAAGCTGTACGTTCTAATACAATTTCTCCATATCACTATATATACGAATGTACAGCTTAAGTAAATGATTTTGTCGAAAAGAAAAATTTCTTCGCTGAATTCTCTTTTTCATAAGGAAAAACATCTTTTGACATGGCGACCCTCGAATTCGTCCCAACGTTGGACCCAAATAGATCAAATCGCCATCAGCCACCGATGGAGGGGCTCGATAGAAGACTGTCGCTCGTTCTGGAACACATGCTTAGATTCAGATCATGTTATAGTGCTAGCGCGTGTTTGTCTGCGTCTTACTGGATATAGGAAAGACGCTGCAAGGAAACCTCTTAGGGCCCTACTTAATGATAGTCAAGCTAAGAGTATATTTCAGGAACAACTAGGAAAATAGTTATGCAGCCATATATGTGATGTCCACCCCGAGGCAGCATGGAATGATATCCGAAAAACTGTGAAAACTGAAGTGATATCTGCTAGTACGGTAGACCACAAGGTTAGGGAGAAACACTGGATCTCAGCAGCATCTACCTCACTCATAGATGCTCCATCTGGCTCTGAACAAAACGAAGAGCGGAGTCAGCTCAAACGCAAGCTAACAAGAAGCCTACGCAATGATTGTGAACAGTGGTGTGTAGCGAAAGCAAGAGAGATGGAAAAGGCAGCGGAAATAGGTAATAGCAGACAATTGTTCAGACTTGTTAAGGAAACCGGTATTAGAAACCCGACTGTTAGCGAAACAATCTCAGAGAAAGATGGACATATAATACATTCTCAATCTAGGAGATTGGATCGATGGGCAGAAAACTTTAGGGATCAGTTCAACTGGCCTTCAGCCACACTTCGGTTTCCCACGATCTCCAGTCAATCTGAATGGCAAGTTAATGTAGGCACTCCGTCTCTTTACGAAGTTGAAAAAGCTATAGGAAATCTGAAGCGAGGGAGAGCAGCAGGCCCTGACAGGTTTACTCCTGAATTTTTTAAGGATGTTGGTCCAGTATTAACAGTGAGGTTGACTGAGGTCTTAGGTAGAATTTGGGAACTGGACGTAATCCCATCTGACTGGTCTCAATCACTGATTGTGCCAGTCTATAAGAAAGGACAAAAGTCCTCTTGTGACAATCATAGATGAATCAGTTTGACTAATATAGTGTCTAAAGTATTAGCTTCAATAATACTTCGACGCCTAACCAAAGCTCGTGAAGAACAGACTAGAGAAAATCAGGCTGGTTTTCGACCTGGACGTGGTTGTATAGATCAGATATTCACACTGCGTCAGGTCCTAGAACATAGACATACATCCAGACGCCCCACAATGGTAGTATTTCTCGACCTTAAGGCGGCATTCGACTCTGTTGACCGTGATGTTCTATCGTAGTGTTTGTCATTGTAAGGAGTACTAAAGAAGTACATTAATCTTATAAAGGCTCTCTACTCGAACACAACTGGTCGAGTGAGAGCTTATGGTGAACTGTCATCAGAATTGATTACCTCAAGTGGTGTTCGTCAGGGCTGTCCACTCTCTCCATTCTTGTTTAACTTTGTCGTTGACGTGCTTTTAGCGATGACACTTTCCTCATCTAAATTTTCAGGAGTTGAACTTCTACCGGGAGATTCACTTTTTGACCTAGAATACGCCGATGACATAGTTCTATTTGGTGAGGACGCTGACAAAATGTAGAGTCTTCTAACCACTATAAGCAACAATGCAAGCATGTTCGGGATGCGATTCCCCCCTCAAAATGCAAAATGTTGCTTCAGGATTGGGTTGCATTGACACCCGAACTAATGATAGGGAGTGAAGTAGTTAAGCATGTTGACCATTTCACTTATCTGGGAAGTCTCATCAGCCCTTGTGTTCTAATGTGTGTTGAAATCTCAGCACGGATACAGAAGGCTCGACTAGATTTTGCCAACTTGAGTCATTTATGGCGTAGGCGAGATATCCGTCTATCAACCAAAGGACGAGTTTACTGCGCAGAAGTTCACTCCGTCCTACTTTACGGCAGTGAAACATGGCCGGTAAGAGTAGAAGATATTCGCATTTTATTAGTATTCGATCATAAGTGTCTTCGAAACATTGCTCGTATACCCTGGGACCATCGAGTAAGTAACGCAGTTGTTAGGAAACGGGTATTAGATAAGAATGGCAAATCAACAGGTGAAGTAGTGGGACTTCATCAGTTGAGATGGCTGACTAATATGTATCTATTCCTAGTGTAATTAATTTCATTTCTCACCGCCTAAATGTAAAGGGTTCGTGACCTCTAAATTCATTGACTGTCAGTGGAATATCATAACAAGAGTACTTAGATACCTAACAACCTTTTCGATTTAGTGATTAATGAATTTAGCTGGGTTGTACAGATGTGAAAGCTACAACCACAGTAGCTGTCATTAAAAATTACAAGTTAAATGCCGGGTTGTCTAAAGTTAGTTGATAAGGATCAGCTTTGTTTATTTAGAAAAATATGCACGGGAACTTCAAGGGAACTATTATGTTTATTTAGTATTGCTCAGTGAACATGATGTACAATGACTGATTTATCTGAGGTTCACGATATGTATATTAAGGGAAGAGATAATTGTAGACACAAAAAATATCTGAAAATTTTGTTTGACTAAATAAATCTTGAGTAATTTAATACAGCTTCTGTCAATATGAAATATCAAGAATAATACTCACACTACATTACAGTAATAAAATAAACAACGAAATTTTGTAATTTGTGCACGAGTTTGATTGAAGCAAATTAAACTATTTACGGTAACAAGATCAGGCATACTATATCCACTAGCCTGTTCATCACAAACAAATGGCCGAAAACTTTGTTACTCGAATGAAATACATAAGGTGTGATACTTTCTGTTTGCACATTCGAATATGTTGTGTAACATTTATTGGTTAAATCAATCTTTGCTGTGGAAAGAAAAACAAAATTCTGGTGTGATTTTTATACATGTATTTAGAAAATATCGTTGACGATTTCACTGAGAATATGAGAGAGGTCATTCATCATTTATCCTAGGTATTCACCTGTACCAACGTCAAACTGATACTATGTGCAAAACTTAGGAATAATTAAAACGACGGATCAATCAGAATGAACCAGTACTAAATTTATTAACTATAAGGAAATAACTTACTGTATTTAACTGACTTCAATTCTCTAAACCGCGATTAAGAGATAAGAACTAGGTTCTGGCTAAAGGAAAATATCACTCGAATAAAGGTACCTCATGGAAGTGAGTTAATCGTGAATATATTTTTTGAATGAAGGCCTTATTCAAAACACTAAGATGTTAAATACAGTTCAATGTTATTACAGCAAGGAACAAAACAACCAAGTGTCTTTTATATCAGAATATATTATGCTATAAAAAAGACTAAAGGCAAACACCGCCGTATATGCAAACAAGTGGAAGAATCAACATGGGTGGGAAGGGATAGTTATAGCAGAAGCATCTAATTATATCCAATATGTAACAATTAACACAAAATGTAAGAATAAAGAATATATGTCTATGTATCGATTAAATGAAGAGATTCAAAATAACCGCAATTAAAAACTTTTTTCTAGTAATCGAAGACAATTTAATAAGACACAAATGAAGACTGATTAAATGCCTTATTGAGATGTCACACAGCCTTTCATTGGTAGTAATCATGATGATACATACTATAGTCTATGTTATTGCATTGTTCATGAACATAAATGCACGAAAACGTGATGTGTATGTCATTCACAGATAATATATTAAAAACAGAACGGTAAGAAACAATGTAGAACAGAGAGAAAGAATAATGACAAATAGGGAAATATATTTCCGAAAATAAATAAAATAACGTGTCATTAAATCAATTATTTGGTTTTTAGTAACATATAATATGAAATGATTTAAAGAATTAATTCAAGCTGTAAATTACAAATATTCTGATAGTTTAATTTGGTTTTCTATTCATACAGTAATAATTGCGCGGGAAAATCTAAATATACAAATAAAAAACAAGTTTCTGAAATACAATTCATAATGATAATAGTAACCACGTAAATGGTTCTTATTGGTGATTACATCAGGATATAGTAACAATAATAATAATAATCATTACTATTATTAAGAGAATTGATAAGGTATGAAGAGAAAAATCACCACGAAAAAGAATCCCATCGTTAAAAGAAAAATGGCAAATGTCATGGGTACATGGAAAATAGAAAACTTTTAGTGAAGGTCATGAAACAATATAGAGTTCATTAAAGATAAAAATACACATTAAGAATTTGTTGAATGCAATAATAATTACAATAAACACCACATAACATATTAGAAACTAAATAGGCAAATAGATCTGGAGAACTAATTATGAATATTGAGCTGATTACAAATGTGTATTCATTGAAAGCTACTGCGTTTGGTTGTCAAATAATGAAATGATGAAAGATCAGAGTTTGAATTGCATGTATTGCACACGGATGAATTCACACTACCGATACACTACAGAAAGTAAACAGTATTGACCGGATATGAAGAACTTTGGCAAAGATCAAATGCTAAATCTAGTTTAATCCTCAACAGGTTCATTTGTAAAATGACATGGGTAAAATATACTCAAAGATGAAAGAGATTCATACTTTTAATAAACTAAATATAAACTCAAATTTTTATTATTTAGACCGCGTTATTCTGTTGTATATTCCAAAGCATGAGGTTTAACATTGGGTATATTATCAGTTGATATGATTGGTTTGTCTCCTAAATTTACCTCAGAATTACAAACATGGTCATCGGAATTAGGAAATGTACAGTCAGGAACAGCTTCATGTTCTAATTTAGACTGTAATCCTGATGGCACAACTAACTGATGCTGACTTTGGTGGTGTTTACCCCTGTGCTTAGGTTTGCCACGACTAAAGAAGTTTACAAGAGCATTTCTTTTCTTCAACAATCCACCTTTTAAATGTGGAGTAGTTTCATTTTGTAAAATATTATCTGATAGTTTTGAGCTCTGAAAATATAATGAAATGGATAATTAAGGAATGATTACAGTTATAAATAACAACAATAAGTAATTTAGGTGAAATTTATTAAACAAACTACAATACTAAAAATTAGAGATCAGAACACGATAAGAAATGGAGCAAACTGATAGAATAAAAATGGTATCCAGGATGCTATGAATTATTCGTGGTAGTACGATTTCTATCCAATGCTAATCAAACACGATCCAAAACTACTTTGCAAGTCATAAATAATTAGGGATGTTTCTAATCAATAAAACGATGATATTACTATAATTATACCAGCTGTATTTCGTAATACAGCACTTAACAATTATGATTTTAAAAGCTGTCGTATTAGCTATGGAAGACTAGCCATATACAACTATTATCAGTGAGCTATAAAATGGTTTTTCAGACGAGAAATGAACAACAGTTGTCTGTCTTGTGACCTTTATTTTCGACCTTGATTATTAAACTGACAAGAAAACTCATGATCGCACTACTTTAGGTAGATATTTTATCTGAAAAAATGACTTTAATTTCCTGACCTGTACATATGTACATCCGTGCTCACCTAGGTGGATAGCGATTTTGTTCTCTGAAATATATTCAATTTAAATTTTAAGCTCAGTCTAGTGAGAAAAACTGTTAGCTTGACAAGAAAAATAATTATACATTGCCTCAGTTTAGAGTAATTTAATTAAAGAAATATTCATTCATTATATACAGAGAAACATTATTAAAGCGAGCATTAGTATTACCGCTTTAATCTAGCTAATAAACACAAATAAGAAGTTTTATATTCAAATTCTCAACTGAATACATCCAATAGATTAGATGTCAGGCATATTATTTACATCTTTCAGGACTATCTCATTACGCTTATAAGAGCTATAAATATCAAAAACAATATTTGACGTCTAACAATAAACCTATGTGAAAACTGAAGTATAACATTCCAAGCAGTTATTTAACTGGCATTAATCTTAGAAGGTATTTATACAAACTTGAATGGTTGAGAATCTATTGTCGATATACATTTGTGGTAATGCCAGGGATAATTGTAATAATTTTGTGCTCGAAGCATTTTATACAATACACTTACAACTCACTTTACTTTGTCATCTTAGATGATCACACTATTTCCACTACCAGACATCCGACAGTCATTCATCAGTTACAAATCAATAAGGTAAACAGGGTACATGACTTTAAGAAACTGACTATTAGGAAGTAGGATACTTTCCAACTCAATAAAACATACATTCCAAACGAAAAAATCCATATATTATTATTAAAGAATTGACAAATATATGAACTTGTAGTAATATGACCTTAAACTACCTTATAAATGTATACTGAAAAACAATATGAAGATGAAACAAGCTCTTAGAATGTAACAGCACAACAACTATCCATTATACCACGAAGCAGTGTTTTAGTGTAGATATGTAAAATACAAGGGAAACATTATAGATTAAGAAATTTTGTAACTAGCGAAAAAAACAGTCCACGCAAGTTAATCGTACAGTTTGAGGGGAGATGTATTCTGATTTATAGACTGCATCAAGGATTTAAACACCAGAGAAGACACGATGATATCATTAGATGTGATAGGATTATACGCAAATGTTCCTTTTATGGAGGCAGTAACTATATGTGATACAAAATTTGAGAAATGGGAACAGACATCATGATCCCAGTAGATGTAATTAAGAACTTATCATTAAAACAAATCATGGATATGAATATTATGTTTGGTGGAATAGTATACAAAAAAAGGGAATAGAGCAGAAATGGGTTCACTATTGAATCCAAATATCAGCCAGTATTTTCCCTTGGAAAATTAGGAGACGAGCTAGTTGCAGTTCACTGGTTTTTTTTACAGTCAATACATGAACGATGCTTTCATCCTCTGTGAAGACCATACTGATCAGTTAAAGGCGCTTGGAACATTAAATGAAGTCCATGCGGGAAGAAAGCAGAGGTAGAATAAACTATTTTTCTTTATTTTATAATATTCCAGTCTACATCCCATAGATAGATTCGGTTTGTATTAAATTTGAAATATTCATTTTGTCAGTTTAATGGTACAGAGCGTATTCATCACTGTTATGATTATTATTCCAGTCTATATCCAACCCGTTTTGTTGATTATAATTGATGGCTGATGCCACCAAGACGTCAAACTACCGCGAAAATGTCATTTCAAAACACCAACAAATTAAAACTGAAGCAGAATAGTTACTTGAAATATCTTTCCGTAAATAGAAATATGTTATATGGATATAATTTGGTAACTGCATAGATTTATCATACACAAATAATATGAAATGATTTGCAGGAGTGTAAAACGCTTTTTTTACTGAGAATGTTTAATTACATCAGTACTGTTAGTCAATGCTAGGATTGTTTTAATAATTAATATAAACACATCGTATAGAATTAATTCAAAAAGATTATGGTGATTGCATGGATAGTGAAAACAAAAACCAAATTTGCAACCAGTTGATTAAAATTATCATTTATTTGTGTTTGTTCGTGAAATCAGTCTTGTATTGATGTGCCATTCATTGGAAATATTGGTAGATATTTGGTTGGTTTGTCATTTAAATTACACTTCCCCAACAAGTGACGAGAATATTAGCATAACACTGACAAGAACTAGAATCGCGATTGCATGAACGGTGAGTATTCTAGAAGATAATTAATAAATGCAAATCCTTACAGACATTGTATAATATTTAACTCATTCTAAATCACAGAAAGTTAGAGATGGTATAAATTAACCATAATTTGTCTTAAGAGACAGAACGTAGTGCAGTCATTCAGAAAATTATATTTAATCCAATTTGCTTTAAATTTCCAGTTTAAAAGTAATCTAGTAGTAGTAAACACTAAAATAAACATAACTTAAAATTGACTTACAACAGATTGATTAGTCAGCTTTAAGGAGCTATTTGCACTTTGAGAAGATTTGCGGTAAACTGATGTGTCACACACATCATCACCAGTTTGATCATCACAAGTTAGGAACTTCGAATCTACAAGTTTTTCGCGATTCGAAAATTGACGCTCGGCAGATAAAGACCGAGCAAGACAAACTGGTCGATCTTGAGATCCTGATTTAAGAGGGATAATTGGGCGTGAAGCGGAAGACTGTCTTCCTGTTCCAGTCTCTTTTGTGCCTATGGAAGATGAGTTAGAACCTAATCTAACTGGGCGTTTCATTGTAAAGCTTGGCCACTTTTTATGTGGTTGTTGACTTGCTTGATTACATGGAGATATGGATATAGATAACTGAGCATCAGTTCGTACAGATTGATCTGTACTAAAAGTTGACGTAAGTTCATGTGTTAATGAATCCTTAGCTAAAAATCAGAAACAAAGCGAAGATAAATGAGAAACCATAAAAAAATATGAAAGAATGAAATTAGGATTCGACGTGATTTATTTAACAAACATGAATTAATGTTTTACACATGATCCGTATATTTTTGAGTGATACTAACCAGGTGTTGAGACTAAAGTACGTAGGGGTGTTTTGGAAACTGGGACTTAATGGTTGTAAGCCGGATGTTTTGATCACTAAGCTGTTGTTTTAAAAATGATAAAGTAACTCGTCTATAAAGAAACTAGTGATTTACAAACATTGTACACAATATCAAATTTAAGAAACTTACAAATACTTAGTAACTAGCAAATATTTAACCAAGATGTAAATAGATAATTCACAGACAATAAAAAGATTTAGCAATTGTTGCATCTCAATTTAGCTCTATAACAAAGGCATTAGTAATTAGAAACTCTAATTATCCAGTGTATCTTTCCGCTTGCAGTAGATGCTCTAGAACTGTAAATAACACCTTATTCATGCATATATTGAGGTCTGTTAGAAAGCCTCAAAACCAAAATATAATGTAATAAAAATATCTATCAGTTAAGGGAAACTAAAGTTGGATATGACTCTTACACATTACACAACACTGAATCTTAAATCTCAAATTAGAAGGGTGGATCTCTTATACTACAATTACCACGACACTTATTCGAAGTTAAATAAGATCACAGGATTTATTGGTTAACACGTTTTATCACATGTATGCAATCACATTATTGACGGAATGTAAAATTCAGTTACTGATTGAACTTCAGTTTGAAAGATTTCCTCACTGACACTTCCAAAAAATATTAGTTTTACCATTAACGGTTTGTGGTCGTTGTTGTTATTTAAATAAAAACGCATAAAATTGTGGATCAGTATAAGTCATCACATTTACAGCACATACACAAAAATATTGTCCGAAACAAAAAAATCAGTGAATGGAAATGCATAAAGACAGCAGAGAAACGCTTGAAGCTTCGAAGACCTTTGTTCACCAGAAATAAATCCGCTACGAAACCCTTTCTGATAGTCTTCTGAGGCTTCAAAATTTTTCGACTATGGAACCGGTATTAACAATTCGAGCTAGTAAAAAATTATTCCTAGAATCCCAAACATAAATATATGTAACAGTTTTTAGTGTTCTGAATGTATAAAACAAAACAGGCTTCACTATCCAAGAACCTTAAGTTACGTGATAACCTTATAAGTTATCACTGAAACTCGCATACAAGAACCAAGTGTGGTTATTCACTTGACCTTAGATAGCAAATATACATTAAATCAATTAATTAAAGCAGATAGATTTCGGCACACTTGCGTACCAACAAAATGCACCACACGAATAAAGTAACGGTAATGTGGAGAGGAAATTTTCATACAATCAATCAATAAATGGATAGGTAGAGTACTTAATGAGCTTCAGTTCAGTTAAAAGTAAACACAAGAGGAGTTTCATTTAAGAGAGGTCATCTCACTTTTGTGAACAATGCAATAGGAAGCTACAACAAAATCATCACTAGCCCAAATTTTGAGCAATATATGATAACGTTTCAAGCCACTGGGTCTCACAATCTCTAGAATCCCAACCTGAGAGTCGTGATGGCAATATCATAATGCCAGTTTCCATGACAGTGCCATCGTACAGACCGATCACATCTGGGCTTTTTTACCATATCACATGGTCAATTTGATTTCAGGCTTCAATATAAGAGGGAGGAACGCCAAGTAGAAAGTGAGCAGTCATGGTAACCGTCTTCTGCACTTATGTAGACCATAATCATTTTAAGTCGAGCATCAATTTTAGACATGAATGTGGACTCGTCTTTTGAGCACCAGGTAAGTGACTCTTTATAGGTTCAGAGGCATATGTATAGAATTATGTTCGAGAGTAGTCAGCTCCAACAGGCATAATTGGAAAGGTGTTATGCAGCACAATATCGTGAAAATGAGTGGCCGAAATCAGTCAGTCAGCTACAACGTAGGACCAGGCACATTTATGCATCGGTCCAAGTTGCCATACCTCATTAACACAACAAGATGGACACCGGATTCATAGAAGTGGTTAATTCAGAGGTGGTAATATATAAAAGAAAGATTGCAGTAAGGAAGAAAGAATTAGTTCGTAGAAAGAAAGATATGAAGCCAGTTTAATCTCTTAGTTTAAGAGAAGACAGAGAGTGTATACACCGACGCCATTGTGATCGATTCTGAGCCATGTCACCAAGAGTCTCCAACCATTGGTTACGATAGTCACGCGGACCCCAATCAAGTAGTCTGTATCTACCAACATGGCTCAGACTAGAAGTTAGTGACTTCAAGCACTGATGCCACGTTTTGGTTTGGCCGCCCCTAACCTTCTTCCAACCATCCCCTACACCGGTTAGCATTGCACGTCGTGGTAATCGGTGTTCAGGCATACGTAACACGTGACCCAACCATCTCAGTCGAACAAACTCGTCAACTGATTTACCATCATTCCCTAATACCCTGCGCGTCTAACCTCAATATTACTTACCCGGTGATCCCAGCAGACGCCAGCAATATTTCTAAGGCATCTGTGGTCAAATACTAGTAGCTTACGAGTGTCTTCTACTCTTAAAGGCCATGTTTCGCTGCCGTGAAGTAAAACAGAAATAAGCGTGAATGCTTTTGTACCTTCGAAGCAGGAAGTCTAGGTGCACTACTGGCTGGGAATCGAGGTATATTTTGGAGCTACACAAGTATCGTTCTAACAATTAGCACTGACAATTTAAGGAAATATATATTCTTATGTAACTGTCATAGATAAAAGAGCTTGGATAACAGGGTTTTTAGGATAATGACCTCCAAATATAGCTGTCGATTAACTGGAGAACAAGAATGACCAACTCGACAAATGTGGTGCCCAACAACACGTTAAGATCAAATATTTATGCTTCAACATTTTCGAACATAGGCACACTTGCAGATTCGTTGAAGCTTTATAAAAATTTGCATATATATCATAACGATAAGCTGGGTTCTGAAAACATTCAAGTTAGAAATTTTAAATGGGAAATTCGGATCAGACATCCTTTGTAAGATCTAGTGGGAAAAACAGTTTATTTGAGAAAATACAAGAAAAAACCCACTTCCGTTAAAGTTGCTCTCATGTTTATGAATCAAAAAGAAACTAAAGTACGCCAGTCACAGGCTTTTATTAGGAGACATGTTTGATAAAGTTTCAAACCATTGAGTTAGATTATCTCTCGGACCACAGCTGAGGAATCGTGATAGACTGACAATTGCCAGTTCTGCACAGCTTTCTATTATTATCCAGCATGTCACAAAGTACAATGTGGGACTCACTAAGACGATGTTCGTTGTACACGTCGATGATAACGTCAATTTAATGATCATCACTGTGCCAAACTTTCACAACACTATATGTTGCCTCTGAACTTCAGCAATTTTTCGGACACAGTTGGCCTTTAATCAATCTAGCAACCATCAGCATTCAAACAACTACCCAGATAAAAAACTTTTCGACTACTATCTGCTCACTAACACGAGTCAGTAAATTTAGTGTGTGAAAAGTACATGACATAGGATTATATATTGACTGACAACTGATTTAGTGTCGATTGCATAGTCTGATTATTCGAAACGTACTTTATTTGAGAATCAACGGTCAAATTTAGGATTCTAAGAAATTACTTGTGTGTTAAGTGTTATACAAACAACTTACCCCATCCTTCATCCCGAGTGCTAGTGTTGAATTTCCTTGGATCTTGGAGAGCAAGCAAAAATTCGTGCTGCATATGCTGAATATCACGCAACTGTACAACCCATGCTTCTCTATTCGAACAGCTAATAGGATCAATAACATAGACGAAGTCTTTTCCAGGAGTTTGGTCTAAAATTGCAAACCGCAGATCGTCAGGTGAATAGCCACTGCACAAAAGATTATCAATAGTTGCAGCTTCTGAATTTATGTGACCACTCGAAAGAGTACAATTGTACCAATGAGACTGAAGAGCAACAATGAGACAAGAACAGTCAATAAAAATACTTTGCAATAATGTAAATCAAGATTAAGTTGTAGTAAATAGTTCAGAAAAGGGATCCATTCAAAAATTTATTCAATTGAGTATAAAAACAAACTGAAATATACTGGACCTGTATTTCTGCAAAAATTCCAAGTAAAAATGTACGTAAATGCACAGTAGCAAGCGTTACCACATGAATGATGGAAATCTATCCAAGCTTAATAAATTAACATTAAACTATGAAGGGCATTCATTTACCACCTCTGTCAATACTTACACATCAGTAGCATTTATGTGAGACTTAAAGTGGGATATGTTAGCAACTTGAATACTGTATACAATAGATATCTTTTTTACCACAAATCTTGTTAATAAAAATGGATAGTGGCTAGGAGTGGGATCCAGGACACGCGTTTCGTCCTATTTGGGACTCGTCAGCTGGATGTACCTACACTTCAGAGTTGATGTTCACTCTGGGACTCGAACCCAGTGCCGTTCGCTTCAAACACCATCGCGTTATTCACTTAGCTACTGAGTCCTGATAGCCACTTGGTTGTGCAATGAGGTGAAGTTTAATTCATTTGATAGTTTTACTTGAATCTTCCCATTGATGTTTAGGACTGCAATTGATCAGTCTCGGGTCAATTAAATCAAATCTTGTTAAGAAAAACTTGTTGGAGGAAACCAGAGAAAATGACGATTGATGTTCTCCATACGTTGCACTTGGGGATACGACATCAATATCACTCTTCTGATCACCGTATAAAATTTTGGAGATGCTTTGTAAATGTTATCAAATCACACTATAAGAGCTTTACAACCAGTGGAAAAAGCATCCACAGAACCTGTTGGAAGTATAAATGTTTTTATTATGCCATCTACAGTTGACATGACTCAATTAGCAAATTTAAACTAGAATGAGTGACTAGTACTGTAATTATATAATAACACTAATTAGAACAAAGTTGTCCTCAAGGGGTTAACGAATGAATAATATATCGTGTGGAATGACAAGCGATTGAATTAAATTAAGCAATTTTTGACCATGGTGATTAATTAACATTTAAACATGTGATTAGAAAATCTGCTTTAAAAGTTATCTGTACTCACCTCATAACGCATTTTGTTGACATTTATTGCAGCTTTAAACTGATAAGTAGACTGGGAAAATGTATCACTGGTAGCTACGCGACGCTTTGGTTTAACTTCTTCTGTTACGAGTAGCATTTGCTCGAATAAAAACAACCGTGATTCTACAAACTTTAGATTTCCTGTAAAAAGTCCATTTCCTTCTGAGATAACAGAATTAAGACCTTCAACAGGAGAAGGTAATCCCAAACTATTTGGTGTAGCAGAGGACGAACACATTGTGGCTGAAGTGTCTGTAGAAAGTGATGGACCCGTATTTACTCCAGATCGCCCAACATGAGAAGGGATTTTGTTAAATGATGTATTGGTTTCAGAAAAAACACCACTGTTGACATTTTGAAGAGCCATTTTATAGGCAGCGACAGTTTCTAACAACTGCTCACGAGTAGTAGTTGCTACTAACAGATCACTGCGTAATAATATGTTTCCCAAAGCGGTTATTACTCCAGGGAAGCCATCTATACGAGCAGCCTGAAAAGTAATAAGTATTTGTTATAAACAGTGAAGCAAAAAAACTACGATGAATGTGACTATATATAAAGTGCAAGAGCGTAATCCAAAAGTTCAGTGGTTAATGCCAAAACTGAATAGCTATAATTCATTTTATGGTATAAAAGTTGGCCTGCACAACTGTACAGCATATTAAAAGTTGTACTCAATAAATAAAGACACATATGAGTGGGAGATGACAATATACAAACTATGTATGACAAGAAACGATCCACAAATATTTACATTTATTTATTTATGTATATTTTCTGTGACTTGCAGATGAATACAAAGTTAATACCATCATGTTCTAGAGCTTCACTTATCTTACACAATAAATTCGGCAAGTTGGTGCACAACATCCTATATCTGGTTGTTCCGATTATTTTGCAAACAAGGGTAGGGCCAGTAGAAAAGAAACTCAACTTATTACAGGACAATTGTTAAGCTGTGCGTTGCACAGCTACAGTAAATGACAAAATTAAAAAGTTCAGTAGCTGGGTAAACAACACGATGGTGCTTGATGCGAACGGCACTGGGTTCGAGTCAAGGTGTGAACACCAAATTTGGGATGCAGGTACATCCAACTGACAAGCCCCAAACCAAACGCGCGTCCTGGATCCTACTGCCAGCTATTATCCACCTTTGCTTAAAAAACAAGAGATTAAAGTACTTAAACTATTGATATGGAGTTGGGAATTTAAAAAGGAACCGAGAACTGAAGGGTAAAACATAACTGGAAATTGAAAATTCTAGTTCAGATCAATGTGTATTCGCTGATAGAAAATAGGCCCACTTTACATTGATTGAAACATCTATTTATAATACAGAAATCGGTACGGTTGTTGGTTACTTTGCTTTACAGTCGACTTTCTAGTCACTACTTAAATTTTCCACATTTGCACGAAAAGTTGAAGATTTCTAATATATCCTAATGAATTTCGTAAACCTACCGTTTTCGTAAAGACTTTTAAACTTGATGCATTCAGTACATTATTTTTCTGAAAACCATTCTAACTAAGCTTCGTTTGCAAAATATGGTTTCAGTTTACTCAATTTTCGCAAATGTTCTGTCGATATTATTCTAGCCTGAGATTTAGGTATACGAATTTCATTGCAAATTTGTGTTGTCTTCCGAGCTGGATGGCCTAACAGAGAGAACCCGTTTAGAAAAGGTAAACCACAAAAGAGGATCAGTGGCGAATAACATCCAATGAACCCGTTTTGCATCAACTACACGACAGACCGGAACCATATAAACCAGAGAAGAGAACTGTTATATCCTAGTGAAGATCAAATTATAGGGAACTTCTGAGAACTGTTAATGGACTAATATTATATGTGTATTCTTATCGTATAGCTATTCAGTAACTAGACTGCATATCTATACTCCTCTTGTTATAAGCTTTATTTTAACCTATAGACAATCATTATACGATTTACTGTTCTTAAGTTATGTCCAGTTTATTAATTACTGTCTCCCAATCACTTTTCGGCTTGATCTTGTACAAATGCTGTTTTCTATTTTGTGGTGTGATGTGGTCCATTTGGCTTGTGTATAAACCAGGTGTGTTTGAAATAGAGGATTTACATAATGGAAGCTGGTATTGGTGTTATGAACTTAAGTGGCAGGGCCAGTAGGAAAAGGACCAATAAAGACGCTAGGCTGCTCATACCAATCGAACGTCATTGGTTTGGACAGTGCTAAGATTGTATTCTTTTTCAGGTTCCCTGAATGCCCTGGTACGGCCGAGAGTGGGGAGAGTCCGCTCTCCCTCTCGAAATACTCACACACGGCCGCGCGTATACAGCCTCTGCCAGGGAAGTCCTACTCATTGCCTTCTCGTGGCGGGGGTGTTGTTAACGAAAATGAGAGGACGAAAAGTGAATGTCCGGCGCTTTACCCGGATTCCAAACCAATGGTGCACATGGGCTCCAGTATCCTGCGGGAACAAATGGCGTATGAACCAATCGTTGGTCACCGGCTAGCATGGGACTGCATCTCCTTACGATGCTCCACTGCCTTGTGGGTTAGACCTTTAGGTCAAAGGCACGGGGTGTGGCCCCCTAAGATAACCACCTGCTTCGGTTTGGGCACCCGGGCAGTATCACAGCCCACACACAAATGATGAACTCTGTATGTCTATGGAAATTATCTTTCTCGCTTCGAAAAACAATCAATTGATTCAAATTATTATCATTACAATTATTGTCATTATTAATACTATTATTATTATCATTACTGTCATTATTATTATTATTAATATTATTTTCCACATTATTCACCCTCTTTTATACTTATACAGCGGCTCGTCTTTGGTGGAAATCCGACTGTATCTAAACGTTCTCGAGTCACTGTCCGGTTGAAAATTGTATGTTACCACCGAATACGAGAACTGAAGCAGTTTTTCTGAAACCACGTGCACCATTCAAACTGGCTGCCTTCAACGTTCGCACACTTATGCAGGTCGGACAACAGATAGGGCTGGCTATGTCTTTGGAAAGTCTTAATATTGATGTTTGTTGTCTATCCGAGACCCGTATTCAAGACTCTGGCGAAGTACTACAAATTCGATCTCCATCTGTCGCTTCGAAAAGCTTGTTTTGCGTGCGCTTATCCGGGGACCCTGTGGCATCTTCGTCTGGTCTTGCTCGCCTTGGTGTCGCACTAAGCGCTAGAGCTGAGGCAGCACTAGTCGATTGGATCCCCATTAACAGTCGGTTATGTGCTGTTAGATTAGAAAGTCCCATCAAAGTGAGAAGAAATCGGCGTGAGAAACGATGTCTTTTCGTCATCTCCGCCTATGCCCCGACAGATTGCAGCCCGGATGCAATCAGTCAGTCAGCCCCAACAATCAAGGATGAGTTTTACCACCAGTTATCTGTTCTTCTCCAGAAAGTGCGTTCGACAGATATTGTAGTACTAGCCGGAGACTTGAATGCCCAGGTCAGGCGTCTAGCACAGAAGAGAGTCGTTTAGGTGGCCGATGGGGACTCGTTGGTCGCAGGTCAGATAACGGGGACCGTCTACTGCAACTTTGCACAGACCACAACCTGTTTCTGACTAGCACTAACTTCCGGCACATTCATCGCTGATGTGCCACCTGGCGTCCTCCCTCTGTATCTCAAGCCTGGACTCAGATTGATCACATCGCGATCAGCTACCGCTGGCGTGGTTGTGTACAAGACTGCCGCTCCTTTTGGAGTACCTATCTGGACTCTGACCATGCCTTGGTCTGCGCCAATCTTGCCTTACTTTTCAGTGGCCAACGAAGTGACCACCACCAAAAGATTGATGTTAGCAAGCTGGTTGCAACTTCTGTTGCAAATAAGTATCGAACCGAGCTAGCCTCTAGGCTAGCTACCACTCCACCGAAAAGTATAGATGAGCATTGGTTGCAATTGCATGACGCCATGAAAATGGCGGGAACAGTCAGTTGTGGGTTTGCGAAACGTCCCGCTTTTAAGCACTGGGTTTCTTCTGGTTTTTTACAACTCATTGAAGCCCGTCGGTCTACTCCGGGTGACCGTGAGTTTGACCATAAACGAAGGATGTTATGTAAGGAAATCGGGCAAAGCTTGCGTAAGGACCGAGAAGCCTGGTGGTCGAAGCGTGCTAATGAGCTGGAAGCAGCAGCTGCATCTGGTAACTACCGGAAGCTCTTCCAACTCATCCGAGCCACTGGAAGCAAGAAGTCTGGTGTGAGTGAAACAATCTGTGAGGATGATGGGATGCCAATCACTAACATCCATCGACGTCTTGGACGGTGGGCAGAATTTTTCGAAGGGCAGTTCAACTGGCCTGCTGCTCCGGCAACATCGGTCAGACTGTCCTGCCCTCCATGGCCGGTGACGACTGATCCACCAAATGAGGAGGAAGTCCGCAAGGAACTCCAACTCTTGAAGCGTTACAAATCACCTGGCCCAGATGACTTACCTCCGGCTCTTTTTAAAGATGGTGGTGACTTTTTGACTAAGGAATTGACGACGTTGTTTACAAAGGTTTGGGAACTAGAGAGTGTGTCAACGTCATGGAATGAGTCGATAGTTGTCCCTATCTTTAAAAATGGTTCACGTCGTTCCTGTAACAACTATCGGGGGATAAGTCTACTTCCGATTGCGTCCAAGCTATTGGCTTCCGTCATACTTCGTAGGTTGTTCAAAACCCGAGAAAGATTGACTCGCGAGGAGCAGGCTGGGTTTCGTTCTGGTCGAGGATGTATTGATCATATCTTCACCCTCCGCCAAATGTTAGAACACCGCCATACTTATCAAAGGCCAACAATCGTAGTGTTTCTTGACATCAGGGCTGCCTTCGATTTGTTGGACAGAACTGTTCTCTGGGATTGTCTATTGAAGAAGGGTGTGCCTGAGAAGTTTATTAACATCCTAAAAGCCCTATATAAAAACACCTCAGGCAGAGTTAGGGCATACAACCACCTCTCTCCATTGTTCCATTCGAGCAGTGGGGTCAGGCAGGGTTGCCCAATCTCACCATTCCTCTTCAACTTTGCCATCGATGACATTCTGGAAACAGCTCTGATGAATGTAAGCAATGGTGGTGTGGATCTGTTGCCTGGAGAAAGACTTCTCGACCTTGAGTATGCGGACGATATTGTCTTACTGTGCGATAATGCCCAAGGCATGCAATCCGCACTTAATCAGTTGGCAATCAGTGTCCGTAGGTATGGTATGTGCTTTGCACCTTCGAAGTGCAAAGTACTCCTACAAGACTGGCAGGATTCCAATCCTGTACTCATCCTGGATGGTGAGCAGATAGAAGTAGTCGAGAAGTTCGTGTATCTGCATAAGTGCTGGTGGAGGTGTGAGTGATGAGCAATGCACGAATAGTGAAAGCCAGAGCGGCTTATGCCAATCTGGGCCACCTTTGGCGCCTTCGTGATGTTAGTCTGGCTGTAAAAGGTCGGATCTACAACGCGTCGGTGAGAGCAGTTTTGCTCTATGCTTGTGAAACCTGGTCTCTCCGAGTTGAGGATGTTAGACGACTCTCTGTGTTCGATCATCGCTGTCTCTGAAGGATTGCTGACATTCAGTGGCAACACCATGTCAGTAATGCAGAGGTTCGGCATCGTGTGTTCGGGCACAGAGATGATAATTCCATTGGTGTCGCCATCTTGAAACACCGACTTCGGTGGCTTGGACATGTTCTACGAATGTCGTCCCAGAGAATTCCACGTCGTGCATTATTTGCCGACTCTGGGACTGGTTGGAAGAAGCGGAGAGGTGGTCAGTGCATGACATGGTGTCGTGGTATGAAAGAAAGCTGCAAAGGACTGGCTTCTGTCGGTCCTTCACGACTCCCTGGTTGGGGTCTGAGAGATGGTGCTACACAGTGGCTAGAGACGTTATCAGATATGGCTCAGAATAGAAGCCAGTGGCGATCCTGCTGTAACCTTCTTTTACTTTCTTCATAAAAAGTGGTTGTGTCTCCCTCACCTGAAAGATTTCTTCTGATTGTACCTTTTCGTTCCCTCGTTACTACCACACCACCTTACATCAATCTCTTCGTTATTGTTCTCTTTTTCTTTTGCGCTCCCTAGTTTTTTTTCTACTTCTCTTCGAATTTTCATTGTTTTGTGTGGTGCATATATATTGGCGCTCTCTTGTACCAATATTCATGTGTTCAAATAAAAAATCCTCAAGAAATACCTTTTCATGGTGTGGGCAGCCGGGAAGAAACATCACAGCACACGAGATCAAGTTGGTCACGATCAATCAATTAATGGGGCTTGTCAAGAAAAGATTAGCCGATCTATGTAGTCTTCAAAATATCTACTAATTATGATCATCAATATGATTTGTCATTTAAAATCTTATTCAATTATTTAAATCACAGAGTAGGACTGAATGATGCTAGAAGACACCATAATTCTCTAACATTTTACGTCAGAACAAGAATATTACTTTTTACAGCCATCAAGTTGAATGAATAGGAAGTCGATTACAATCTAAGTGTCAATCAACTGACTATATTGACAACTAATTAACTAAAATATTTTGCGTTTTTCCGTTGGAAAAATTTGCCTACGTTTATTTTCAGTAGTACGGTCTCATAATTCTGCCTGCAGCTCTTCTAGGGTTACTGCCCGTCCCGAGTAAACGGGGAGAGTTAGACATGAAGTCAGCAATACAATCCCGTAGAAAACAACCTTGATAAGAAAACGCTAACAAGGATTGAACTATTTAACGTTTGTCCAAGGATTTCAAGGGCCTTCTTTCAGTCATGAGGTTGATGCCTATTCTAACAGCCACAAAAATAATTTCCATAGGTGGAATACCGGAAGGGCCAACCTAATAGCTGTGGAAATGAGGATACAACTTGGCAGAACTCGGTATCAGCCAAAACAGTCCTGCTTTACTGAGCTGAAACTTGGAGAACCACTCACCATCAAAAATTACAAGTAACTATAAACAATTGTTTACGCAAGACATTCAATGTTCGTTGACGGGATACCATCAGCAACGGTCTACTGCTGGAGACAACAGATGAAGAGGAAATTAAGTAAAGACGTTGGAGGCGGTGGGTGTTACATACAGATCAAACTGCATCACGAGTCAAGTGTTTACTTGGAATCATGAAAGGAAACGGAAAAGATGAAGGCCAAAGAATATATTGTTTCAGGAATTGGAAGTAGACATGAAGAGGATGGATAGCAACTGGAAAATATTTTACATGACAGAGTTGGTTGGAGTATGCTCGTGGGCGGTCTACGCAAGAGCACGAGGGGTAAAAGTTGTAAGTACAATATCATCATACAATTAGTTCCAGATAGCTATATGTAGAGCGAAACAAATTAACCTATCTTTGATTGCAGGCATTTGTATTTCAATCCTCGGATCACAGTCATAATCATTATGCGGTATTTAAGTTAGTTGAAGAGTATGAGCGAGAATTTAGCCGATGATAAGCATACTCTACAGTTCGAAGAGTAAATTTACACTATTAGTGATAAGCGCAAATGATTTCAAGAATTCTAAATAATGTTGCTGTTATAAGACTATTTGTAGTTATCGATTTTTTTTCCAAACTAATAAGTTAAACTGAAGATAGTGGTGTATTGAAATAAGAGATCTGGTATGTTGATTTATTAGAACACAATTTCACTAAGTTGGAAAAGGTTGCCCTCAAAATACTGATTCGGTTAACTAACATCGAAACAAAACATTTCGTACCTCGACTTCCATAGACCTAGACGCCTGAGAAATATTTCTATCTTCGAGGTTGAAGAACGTGAATTTAAACCTCTCCACATACAAAAATGACACGACAAACTGCGTATAATCACGATAAGCAAATGGCTTTTCATACTTTGTCCACTGAGGACCAACCAAAAAAATCCGGGGTGTCAAATCCCAACCGATTTCCCGAAACATTCCAACACTGACAAAGTCAGATAATTTTTACTATGAATTAACAATATAATTACGATGATTATAGGCAGATACAGCAGCCCGAAAGCATACACAAGTAAATGTTTAATTCTAAACACTTGGATATGACATGGATGAAATATACAAATGAAATCAGAAAGGTACGTGAGTAAACAGATTTACTAGTAATCAGAATTACGAGCGACTTCAAATAAGGTTTTTACGGGACGAAGGTAGGAAGCATATAAATATATTTATATGACATTGAAATGACGCTAATAGACATATGACCACAATGTTGTAAAAAACAATGTACAGTTCAAAACTTACTTCCAAAATCAGTTGCGTATCCTTTGGGATTTCCTTCATAATCTCCAAAGTCTTTTTCCACAATAAAAGATCAGGTGAACAGGCACGTTGAGTGTACTTAAGAATCTCTGCGATAGGGAGTTGGTAGCGCATTATACGCTGTACTGGTTGCATTAGGTGTGAGACAACGTCCTCTTTGTCGCCAATAAAAATGCGCAACTCCTCAAAAAAATCCCGGTACTGCTCTGCAATTAAAGCTGCCTTTCGGTGATTTTCACAATATTTCGAGTATATGGACCTTAAACGAGCTCGAGAGTCAATAAAGAGCTTTGGTATGCGATCAGGATCACTTTCCACAACGCTAACTAGCTTTTCAAGGAACGCCGAATGCCATTCATATAACTGAATCCAGTTTCCCCATATGATTCTCCATCGAGCTGCTAAATCCTCTGGAGCAACAGGCGGGGAAGCATGTGAATCACTGTGAGGTAGCGAGCTAGGTGCTCCTATAATGTTTTCTGTATTGGACTGAGCTGTAGTTGGAGCATTAACAGCCGGTATGTAGAAATCCTTTACCAGTTTCAAACGCCGAACATAACCTTCTTCGGAACTAACTAGTTCCATTAGTGGTTGTTTTCGCTGTATCAACGCTCGTGAAACATCGTCCCCAGCCGAGCCCGATATAGTCATTTCTTCAGCACACCGGTCTTCTTTAATTTTGGCACCAGGTGAATTTTCATCTGAAGAATGGCGGTCAATACTAAAGGAATCATGAATAGAACAAGGCTCGTCTTTAGAATAATTCGAACGACTAGCTTCCTGATCACTTAATTTCATTGTGTTGGCCTGCATAACCATCATATCTAAAGAGATGTCTTTTAATCCAACAACAGATTGAGGACCTAGTTCGTTAGTTGACATAATTCAAGGAAATATGCAGTCACACACGCCAACGAACGATAAAAACAGTACATCACTTAGCTACTCCAAGTTCCAATTATTCATCTATGTTAGTAGACTGAACTTAGTTACTCATATATGATAGCAATTACCATAACTGGATGTAATTCTCCCCACGCATTAGAAAGAAGCCATCGACAGGTTGGTTATAAAATGCGCTCCGACTTGGTGATACAAACAAAATAACGTCAAATTTCCAAGGTAATGTTGTAATAGTATGTTTGTCCATCCTATCAGGTTTTCACATTTGCGGTGCAAAACAGTGTGATTTTATTAGTTTTGGATCACCAATATTCTTCCAAAACTATAGGAGTTTGTGAAATTCTTAGTTTAGAATTTTCGGTTTAGGAATGTCAGAAGACTAGGTGGCCTATGTTGTTTGAAGAATTATTTTCAAGTTCAAAAATATATTCAAAACATGAACCATCTTGTACTTTGAGCTAGACAACTTTGGTCAATTAATTATCTCGAAATACCTTAAAAAGTCATCTTAACTTAGGGGTCTGGACTGTTGAATTGGGTTATTTGAACAAATTAAAAGATATGTAAGTACTTACTGGTGTTGTCAGTGCTCGCTTAGGCACTCTCAACGAACTATGCTTTACCTAGTTATTTAGGGCACTCCCTCTGATATTCAGCAAGTCAGGAAACTATATACTAATCTAACTCTACTCAAAATAGAAAATTACTTTTATACAACATATAATCCACTTTGATTAAAATTATTAACATTTCGTTAGAAGAGACCAAAACGCTTAAAGAGAGGTTTTTAGGGGGAAATGACGGGCTAACACTCTATGACGATAGGATTCGTCGTTAGAATTGTGTACAGAAGGATGAACGTAATTCCAGCTATTCAAATCACCAAGTATCCCGTTTCCATCGTGCTAGGAACTACGCTGACAAATTACTTATTGATTTTGAAAGGTTTCTCCAGTTAAAATACGAATGTTTTGGTTTCCTAGTATGAGAACTGTGATAAAAATGACTTTATAATTAGTCTTGAATCAGTAAATTTGAAGTGGTTTTTGAGCTAGTCTGATGGAGAACATTTCCAAGTAGTTATCAACAGTTGCATTTAAGTCGCTTTTAACCGCTAGAGCTTTTGTTGCAGTCGTTATGCCGACGATCGAAATTCGAAACTCGGAACACAAACTGCACAATCGGTCTTTCAACCGTTGAAACTGAGTACAAGCAATAACAGGAGAGCAGAGATAATGGCAGTCCCAAGGATGTATGTGTGACAACCTCCCATTATTTTCCATATTTACTATTTATTTATGTTCTAGTAAGTAAGCAGGTAAAACCGTTTTCTCCCACTGCCTGGGAGAAAGTGTATTAATAATATTTTACGTCGTTTGCAGTAAATTAATTCAACAATGTGAGAGGTTTATAAAAAAGCTGAGTTCATCTCAGAACCTTTAAAAGACTAGACCGACAAATTACTGTACTACTAACTGCATTTCGGAGTTCAGTTGATGCCATTATAATCATCCATCATGATGTTTTAACAATGTTACAGTTTCTTGCTCTTAGTTTTATACATACAAGCTAGCTTGTATTAAAGTTTTACAACCACCTGACAGTATTAATGTCTGTAATTCTTCTTTAACATTTGATTACTCACATACACCATCATACGATTTCTAGCTAGGAAGCTCACAATTTGTACGAAGCAGTGTGGATTACCGTTCCTGATCTTCGTCGAATGATAGGGAGCCCACTTGTGTTGGACGGGAATGATGGAACCCACCAGCTAATGTTGCAATCACACTTAACGATTAGGGCAAAAGACGGATTGACCTTTCGACGTATCCAGGTATTATGGCTATCTCACCGAAAACACAAACAGAACCATTACACAAATATATTAAAAAGCTAGCAACCAAACAGAATCAGAAGAATACTGCATGCATTTTCAGTGTTCTGAATGTATAAAACAAAACAGGCTTCACTATCCAAGAACCTTAAGTTACGTGATAACCTTATAAGTTATCACTGAAACTCGCATACAAGAACCAAGTGTGGTTATTCACTTGACCTTAGATAGCAAATATACATTAAATCAATTAATTAAAGCAGATAGATTTCGGCACACTTGCGTACCAACAAAATGCACCACACGAATAAAGTAACGGTAATGTGGAGAGGAAATTTTCATACAATCAATCAATAAATGGATAGGTAGAGTACTTAATGAGCTTCAGTTCAGTTAAAAGTAAACACAAGAGGAGTTTCATTTAAGAGAGGTCATCTCACTTTTGTGAACAATGCAATAGGAAGCTACAACAAAATCATCACTAGCCCAAATTTTGAGCAATATATGATAACGTTTCAAGCCACTGGGTCTCACAATCTCTAGAATCCCAACCTGAGAGTCGTGATGGCAATATCATAATGCCAGTTTCCATGACAGTGCCATCGTACAGACCGATCACATCTGGGCTTTTTTACCATATCACATGGTCAATTTGATTTCAGGCTTCAATATAAGAGGGAGGAACGCCAAGTAGAAAGTGAGCAGTCATGGTAACCGTCTTCTGCACTTATGTAGACCATAATCATTTTAAGTCGAGCATCAATTTTAGACATGAATGTGGACTCGTCTTTTGAGCACCAGGTAAGTGACTCTTTATAGGTTCAGAGGCATATGTATAGAATTATGTTCGAGAGTAGTCAGCTCCAACAGGCATAATTGGAAAGGTGTTATGCAGCACAATATCGTGAAAATGAGTGGCCGAAATAAGCGCGAATGCTTTTGTACCTTCGAAGCAGGAAGTCTAGGTGCAGTACTTGCTCGAAACTGGGGTTTCCGAAAAGTCACCTGTAGGCTTTTGCATCTGTCAATCTGGTATAAGCTCCAGAATACCGAGTTCCATTTTTATTTTGTCACAAATACTACCCTGCCTTGTAAAGTGGCATCCCAGAAACATGTAGTGACAAATGTCTGACGCATTTAAGTATTATTATTTTATTCACATCAACATTAATTAAAGCATTTCAAAAAAGATACTTATTGTTTTGACACCTTTTATAAAATAAATGCGATGGGTTAGTAACAGTGCAATAATTACAATTTTTCATAAATTGATTTGTAATCACATTCAATACAGCATTTATAGTAAATATCTGACTTAGAATCATATTTCTCTGGTCCGAACACATGTTCATGAGATTTATGCACTCTCGCATATAAGCTACTGCGTGTCTGAAGCTTCAGTTCTGAAATGAAAAAAGCAAACGTTTTGTGATAAACACCTAAAGTCCTTAATAAAAACCAATCACATTCGCTGGATGGATATAAAGACTTATGATAAGAATTGATCGTACAGCGACTTTCAGAAAGGACTACATAAAAGATGCTGGTGTTTGTACGAAAATAATGTTCCGAAATGATGCAAGTTACCTTATGACTCTCCGCTTAAAAACATCCACAAAGTAACCATAATGAGTAGATAAGTGTCATTACTAAGGTTTGACTTGATAATATCAAATAAATTGAGTATTGCGTAAATTGTTATAAATAAAAATAATTTATTTGTGATATCTCAATGAGTAGAAGAATTAAAGTCTAAATTTTCTTAAGTTTCGTGAATCAATTTAAACCGATCATCCATAGAACAAATAAGTTAAATTAAACCGTGGTTCAATCGTACAAAGAAAGAATATTCAGTGAGATCAATCGAAAACCGGTATAACTAAATCAATCTCATATCATTCCAGCTAAGGTGATTTAAATGAGGCATGCTTGCATATTTGTATTGAAACAATTTACACTGTAGGTGATATTTGGTTTTTCTTCTTTTGTCATTTCTTCCTTTGGTTTTCATAGGATTGATTGAAGTGATTTTGTTGGTTTGTGTGCTGCACATATTCCAGTAGGTGTCTAATAAGAGGCAGCTATCTTCGAGGCTAGGTTTTACATTATCGAAAACAACATTTGAAGTAGATGAGTTCACCTTAGAGGTTGAGGGAACAATATTTTCAGCAATTAAATGATCTGTTTCATCTGAGCTGTTGGTATTGTACTTCATTTCCCTGGGCCTTGCCATCGTTAGGCCAAACTAACAGAACCGAATTTCGACCAGAGTTCGTCACTCAGAAGATTCGAACCAATTTGAACCAAAGTTGAGAACTGTTAAGTCTATCGAAGCGTCCAATTCACGCGATTGAGATTCGCGCAAAATCGAAGTTCGCAAAGTAACGATGTCTAAAATAGCGGTTCTCAAATTGTGAGGTGTCTACAGTGTTTACCGCGTGTTTTTGTCTGAAATAAAAAGGGCTTCAGTAGTGCAAAAGACAGTTGTTAGCTGTGTCTACAGTTGCTAACAGTTTATCAACAAGCAAAAGTCGACCCAAGAGAGAACAATGTGGAAACCGCTGCGTCTAAAGAACGGTTAAACAAATACACGAACTGTGAATAACTGATGCAATTATTGAGATAAAGTAATTGTAAAGATAAATCCTATAAGTATATGTAAATATTTCAGGATATAATATGCCAATTAAATACAAGAATATCGTATATTACGCAGAATAATATATCGTGCGAGAAAAGAAAACAAATACTACATTAAGTAATCATTACATTGAATTAGAAAGGAAGTATTGTTGAACAAAGCTCATAATTATTAAACCAATCGAATTTTGGCTTTCTTTCCATTTTATCACAAACCAACAAAATCACTTCGATCAATCCTATGCAAACCAAAGGAAGAAATGACAAAAGAAGAAAAACCGAACATCATCTGCATAATAAATTGTTCTAACTGCGAAAAACACTATATCGGACACTGCGGACGCCTTCTTCATCTTCGTCTGCATGAACATCAATTAGCGGTCAAACGACATTACGTATTTTCAGTTATATGGATGCATGTGGACATATATTCGACTGGAAAATGTTGAGATCTTGGATAGACAGAATTCTAAAAACACCAGAATTTTTAGAAGCTTGGCAC